GGTTAAAGTGGAACCGCTTATTATATTACATTAACTATTTTTTTGAATATTATGTTTTTAAATTTGCTATTAGAGAAAACCTTTCAGAATTCAAAATGTTAAATACTTTTACATATTAAAATTAACTTTACAAAAATTAGGAAAAAAAATTAATCCAAAAGAGTTCAAAAATGTATTATAATATTCTCAATTTTGAGTTTTATTATATTGTTCATTCTCAAAGTAGAAACATTTATTGTAATTATTTTAATTTAATAAAATATAATTTCAATTTTTAATACTAAAATTAAAAGATTAAATAATAATGAATTTAATTCTTTAAATTGAGTATTTAGAAACTAAAATTATAGTTTCTCTATTTTAAATAATTAAAATAAATAGTTAAAAATAAAAATCAAAACTAGTATTATCTTAAATTTATTAAAAGTGTAATTAAATCTCTAGTTTCTTAATTTTATTTGTTTCAAACTTCTCAATTCTACATTTTTGTAAGTTCTATCATTATATTATCATCCTCATATCCTCTCATGTTCTACTTTATCTTTACAATAGTCAATATTCTTAAATAATTTATATTTTTAATTATAATTTTTTAGTATATATTTTAGAAATTAATCAATTCTAATCTATTATTTGAAAAACTAATCAATTCTAATCAATAATTTAGAAAACTAATCGATTATAATTAATTATTTGAAAAAATTATCAAATATGATCGATCATTTTGAAAATCTAATCGATCAGAATAAAAAAATCTGGTTGTATATGATAGCGGTTCCACTGGAACCGCTCTTAAAAGAGCACTTCGATAGCGGTTAAACCTTAACCGCTATCTAACTATATTTTATTTATTTATTGATACATTTTTTCATCAGATATCGTTCAAGCGAGACTATAGTCGCTCAAGCGAAATACAACCCGAGAATGCCAATTTTGTGCAGGGGTGTTTCGCTTGAGCGACACTGATCTCGCTCAAGCGAAATACATTTTAGATAGCGGTTCCACAGGAACCGCTCTTAAAATGACACTTCTAATAGCGGTTAACGTGGAACCGCTATCATATCTTCTCAATTATGATCTATCATTTCTAATTATAATTGATCATAATGAAAACTTACATTAACTATTTTTTTTAATATTATGTTTTTAAATTTGCTATTAGAGAAAACCTTTCAGACATTCAAAATGTTAAATACTTTTAAATATTAAAATTAACTTTATCAAAAATTAGGAAAAAAATTAATCCAAAAGAGTTCAAAAATGTATTATAATATTGTCAATTTTGAGTTTAATTATATTGTTCATTCTCAAAGTAGAAAAATATATTGTAATTATTTTAATTTAATAAAATATAATTTAAATTTTTAATACTAAAATTAAAAGATTTCGTTGCATGAGGTTTCTTCACTTAAAAGATTTTGCAAAATGCCTCTAAAAATGTTTTTAACAGCTTAAAAACAAAGTATTTTGACAAAAGCTTTCTCAAACAAGTTTTTAACCGATACAACTTTGATAGAACCGATTAAAATTACTTAAAATGTTAAGTGAAATGTTTTTACAATATTTTAATCGATACAACTTGATTTTAATCGATTAAAACCACTTAAGGGTTCAGGATGATCGATCAGAATGCAATTATGACCGATCAGAATCAGTTATGATCGATCAAAATTTAGTTATGACCGATCATAACTCTTTTAATCGATTAAATCTCGTTTCAATCGATTAAAACAACTTAAAAAATTTCTACACAGCGTTTTAATCGATTAAAACTTATTTTTATCAGTTAAAATAACTTGAAAAGTTTTACAAGAAAGTTTTGCAGTATTTCAATCGATTGAATCGCGAAACAATCGATTAAATCAACTTAGAAGATTTTTTGTAAAGTGTTTTAATTGATATAAACGTTGTCGTATCAGTTCAAACAAATCTGTTAAAGAATCAAGAACATATTAATGGATTAAAATAAGTTTTAACAGATTAAAACTGCACTTTTAACAGATTAATTAAACCAACAGTTTTGAAAATCTTCTATAAAAACAGTTTGGCTTGAACTTTTTTAACATACATTGAATATCATCTTTTACACATCCTTGAGCAATCAATCAAGCAAACTTCAACACTCTTTTCAAGAAATATTCGCATCAGCTTTTGAGAAGTTCTTTGAAAATCTTTCTTGAGGCAACTTGATTTCTTTTGAAGAAGAAACACTTACAGTAGAATTGCATAAATTGGTTTGAGGATTCTAGTTTCTTCTTTTTCATTTCTTTACATTCTTTTTGTATTGTTTGGTGCCTGGAATTTGGTAATAAAGAAAACATTTCAGAAAGCAAAATGTTAAATACTTTTAAATATTAAAATTGACTTTATAAAAAATTAGGAAAAAAATATTAATCAAAAAGAGTTCAAAAATGTATTATAATATTTTCAGTTTTAGTTTAATTATATTTTTCATTCTCAAAGTAGAAAAATATATTGTAATATTATTTTAATTTAATAAAATATAATTTAAATTTTTAATACTAAAATTAAAAGATTAAATAATAATAAATTTAATTCTTTAAATTTAGTATTTAGAAACTAAAATTATAGTTTCTCTGTTTTAAAAAATTAAAATAAATATTTAAAAATAAAAATCAAAACTATTATTATGTTAAATTTATTAAAAGTATAATTAAATCTCTATTTTCTTCAATTTTTTAATATAAAATTTTAAAATATAATTTAATTTCAATTGAAAAATAAATTCAAGAATATTTGTTATTAAACTTTTCTTAAACAATGTATTGAATAGTTAACATCACTCTAGTCTTAATTTATTACAATTTAAATTTTTAATAAATTTGATTTATTACAATTCATTTTGTTAATATTGAGACCAAAGTTTATTTTTAAAGTATATTTTAAAAATTAAATTATTTTTAAAAACTAAATTACTTTTAAAAAATAAATTGTAAAAAATATACTAAAACAATTAAAGTATATTTATAAAAAAAAATTTAAATATAATAAAAAAATAATATTCATTAACGACCGATTTCAATTCGGTCGCTATTTTCTCATTAGCGATCGATTTTAATTCGGTCACTATTTCAATTTGTAATTCGGTCGCTAAATCAGTCGCTAAATGATTTTTTTTATTTTAGTATGAAATAGCCACCGATTTAGCGACCGAAATTTTGCGACGCAAAATATTGGTCGCTATTTCAGTCGCTAAATAAAAAAGTGCAAAATAAATCATATTTGGTCGCTAAATCGGTCGCTAATTGCAACCGAATTAAAGTGGTCTCTGAATCGGTCGCTAATTGCGACCGAAAAAATTCGGTCGCTAATTTTGGTGGCTAAATGTGTTTTTTCTTGTAGTGATAGGAGAACTGGGAGTGAAAGGAAATATGTTGTGGAAAAGACTATGGGTAGCAATGGTATATGAGATCTGGTCTCAAAGGAACAATTACATTTTTAAAAATGAGAAATTCAATGCAGAAGTAGGATTCAATAAAGCAAGCGCAAAATTCATAGCATGGTGTGTTAGAGACTAGGATGGAGCGAGTATACCAAATTCAGACGGTTCTATGAACCGATAAGATACATGAGACTAATAACTATGTGACTTCTCTCTAATATGTGATAGCTGATATATGTGTTAGCAGGTTAAAACATGAAAGTATAATATAAGGACGAGAATCCTCACAAGGTGACAGAGGGCGAGAACATCTAGGGATTATTAGGTCCATATATTAGAATTGATAGTATCTATGTTACTGATAGGAACATAGCAGAAGTTAGTCTTATTTTGTAATGATTAGATTATTAAAATTGTATTCATGAACATTTGTGTGCGGAATAGTGCTGAACACAACAAATTTTTACTTTTTTTATCTTTTGTTTCCTTTTGCTATATATGGGTTGAAGTACCTTCTTATACTTCTATTAATTTTATTCTTTATTACCAATAAAAAAAAATTGTAATACATACGGTGGACCACGTCTTGAAAGACATTGTCAAAGGTAGCATACGCTTCATATGCCAATCAATAACATTGGCAAACGCAAATCCAATAGTTTTTTTTTATTATTTATTTGAGCTTTGTATTGTCTATTGCAAAACTGATGCTAGGTGAGAATTTTCAACAACATTTACGATTTAGCATCGACTTTTCCACATTAACTTTAAACTATCATCTTATATTTTTCACCTTTCAACTAGCCTGTGCAAATTTAACCTTAGGATTAAATAAAAATAAAAAGATAGGATTTAGTGTCCAAGTTTAAATCAAAACAAATTAAACATATGAAAATGGATGCACGTAACCCTTCAAAAGTGTAACTAGTTTATATGCACTTTTGTTAAACACAAGGAAAGAAAATTTAACTTTAATTAGAAATAAACAATAAGAAGTGGATACTAAAAAAATAGTTACACATATGAGAGAAAATGCTACAACCAATTATTAATGTCAACCAACGCGTACAATTAATCAGCTTCGATCTAAAGAATTAAATGCTTTTATTTTTTAACAAAGTTCGATTTTCTTGTTAAGCTGGTGTTGGCTATTAATTTAATGACAAAACACGCGTGAGCTCATTCAATGCATGAACCTTTAGTTTATACTTCGTCTACTTAACATAAGTTTGTCGTGTCTAACTAACATAATGTGAATACGTGTTATAGGATATATAAGAAATACTCGTTAAACGTTAAGAAAATATTATCAAATGCCTCCTTTGGCAAGTTGCTTCATGACACATGACAATATTATATATTTCTCTAAGTAAAATATTATAAGACATGTGACATTATTCATTACATCTATGATAAGAAAACACTATGAAATGGTGGTAAGTTGGTCGTATACGAATAAATTAAAACCCCGAATCTACCCCTTGCCCTCTATATATATATGAAGTAGAAGGAAAGGACACATATCAATACATTTTAAGGTATATTAGTTAAGGTTAATAGGAAAAGGTTTCTATCTTTTGCTCACTGTATCATTTGCATGGCTGAAATAACATCAACTACTACCCAATTTCATTTTCCACCAGTTAACTACAATGCTTCTTCCCATGCTTATCTATTCTCAGCTTGTGATGATGATATACCCACGGTTGATTACTCTCTACTGTTCTCTGATAACCCTGTTCAACGATTTCTTGCCCTAGAAAACCTTAGCCAAGCATGCCAGGAATATGGCTTCTTCTATGTAGACTTTCTTCTCCCCTGTATACTTCTATATATATATATATATATATATATATATATATATATATATATATATATATATATATATATATATATATATATATATGTCATGCATGAATTAATTAATCTTTTTCTCTTGAACAAGTTATTACACCTCAAATATTTCATATATGTAACATGTTTCAACATATATATGATCATTGCTTCGTATGCATGCAGCTGGTAAACCACACCATCTCAGATGAAGTGTTGGATACTATTCTGAAGGGGTTTTCTGATTTCTTTGATCCAAAAACCATAGATGAGAGAAAGGTCCTCCGCAAAAGTGGCCCATCAGATAAAATTCGATGGGACCTAAACGCATCTACTGGGGAAAATAGGGAATATCTCAAAGTTATTGCACATCCCCAGTTCCATGCTCCTTCTAATCCACCAGTGCTTAGGTATGTATATGAACCACGATATTTACTTTGTGTTCATACAATTTCTCTATAATAAACTTGATAATGATGTTTTGTATTTATTGTGATGTTCCATATGATTAAATTTCTTGTTGGGTCATTCCTTTCATCAGCAAAATTTTAGGAGAATATCACAAAGCAATGAGGAATATAGTAGAAGGATTAGCTAGAGCAGTGTCCACAACCTTAGGGTTTGAAGAAAACTACATAGAGAAGGAGTTCAACTTGAAGTCAGGGTTTGATGTAATGGCTATGAATCTTTATCCACCAAATTCTAGATCGAAGGGAGCTATTATCCATGAACACCCTGACCCTGGCTTTGTTGTTACCCTAGTGCAAGATGTAGATGGTGGTCTCCAAATCCTATCCCATCAAGGAAAGTGGATCAATGTTCATATACCCCATCATGCCATACTCATCCAACTTGGTGATCATCTTGAGGTACTTTTAATTCAATTTAATTGGAGTCCTTTACCTGTCATTAACTAAGTTTTGGTTTTACACCGTCCTCTGATCATGCTAACTTTTTGGAACCTTGACTTAGGTCTTAACCAATGGAAAGTATAAGAGTCACATCCATCGAGTTATTGTGAACAATAATAAGGTGCCAAGGATATCTGTGGTGACCCTTCATGGACCTGCCTTGGAGAAATTCATCAGCCCCAGCGCAGAGTTTATTGATGAAGAACATCCACAGAAATACCATGGGATGACCTATAAAGAATCCTTGGAAGCAAACGGGGGCGATGACATCGATGTGCAATCCTCACTTGACAAGCTTAGATTTATCTAAACTTGAAGTTATATAAGTAACAAACAATTAATGAACACCTAGACTAAGAAAAAAAGTTAAAGATAAATAAATATTGATATAAGAGTATATGATATGAATTGCTCATCTATCATTACTCATAATAAACCCTCACTGTGTGTAACAGTAAGATATCATGTATTACTATATTTGTACCATTTTTCTACGAATAAATTAATTTTTTTGTCCCACTCGCTATCCATATCTTTTTCTTGTATATATATACTTCATTTGGGGAGACCATAGATGACGTGCAAAATCAAGAGAAAAAAGAAAGAAAAAGGAAGAGGGGAGGATGTCTAGTACTGACGAACATATAATATATTATCCATAAATAATAAATAAATATAAAAATAAAAGAAGATAAAAGAATTAGTGGTAAAATTTGTAATTATGAAAGTTAATATAAATTACACAATTTTAAGAATTTGGCTAAAAAATCATAAATATTAATATAAATTATAAAATGTTAAAGAATTATTGTCTTCTCGTCTCTCTCTGCGAGCGAAAGGAAACAAAACCATAAAACAATGACATAAAATTGAAAAATCATGTAAAAAAAAACAAGTTAGGCAAAACCAGAGTTAGGAAAATCATTTTTATTCCTGAAAAATCATACTATTCTACCATACAAAATGATCTCCAGAACCTATAATTAACAAGTTTATCCAGTCAAGAAGTGTTTTTCCAAATAAATACAAAAATATAAAATAAATAAATAAATAAATATAAAAGAAATATAATATAATAAAATATGATATAAATATATCTATCAATTTGTGTATCATGTATATAAAATAATAAAAAAAATCATCAAATATTAATATCATTAAATATTAGATATTTTTAATATTAATAGTAAATTTGATTATTCTAAAATTAGTGTTATATAGATAATTCTTTATGAGGCATAATAATGAAGTATACTTAGTACATATCAATTATTTACATTTTTAAATAGAAAATTTCGTAACATTTTTAATTAGTCTTTTTTTGTAGTTATTTTCTTAAAATGTATTTTTCTTTGTTATACACTTATAATCTTTATTTCTACAGATGCAATACTCAAATTCTAAATTGAAGCTTCTGCAACTCATAATCATATTCTAAGCACATGATACTAATTACACTGACACTGGGATGACAAAATAAGAGTAACCAATAAATAAACACGTTCTGACCGGCTTCTCATACCAAAATTTATCTTATGCATTTCCAAAATAACTTTTTAATAAGAGTTATTTAAAAATAAAAATAAAAATAAAAATAAATATTTTATTATAAATATTATAAATTAATTGTTTAAAAATTGGTAAGAATTATTTATATAAGTAATTTTCTCAAATTTTAAAGAATTTATATATGAAATTCATAATAAAATATTTATTTTTAATTTAATCAATTATTATTAACAATTCTCAGACATTTTTAGTAGAAAAAGTTTGTATGATAAACCACATCTCTTTATACTTATTTCTTTATTTTTTAAATTTAATTAAAGAAAATAAAATAACCGTATAAAAAAATTAATTCTATATTTAATATAAAATCTTAAGATAATAAATTTGTGAGTGTTTTTTTGCTTTATTTAAATTCACTAAATCTATACAATAAGAGACTTCATAATTGAATTATAACCATTTTTATTAAATTAACATATGCACACGTCCATCCAAATTCATTCTCCCATTTCAGTCTAAAATGGGTCGACAATTTTGCTTTTTAATTAAATCTTAAAATTTAAATCATATTAATAAAATTTAATTTAATTTTTAAATTAACTATTTTTATATATATATTTATATTAAAAAAATTTACATAAACTATAATAATATTATAGTATATAGTTGATACAATCCTCAATAACATCTTATTGAATTAATTATATAAAATTAAATTAAATATCTTATCATTTCTAAAATTATAATATTAGAGTCATAATTTATTTATTTTTTATTTTTTTTAGATATTTTCTCTAACCAAGAATTACCCTGGTAAGTAAAAAATATCATTTACCTTTTACGACAGGTTTCGAGTTGAATTTATATAGTTTATCTGATGACATGTAATATTAATACTTATTAGACTGTTCTTCGTTAAAATAAATGTTAACATTATTATATATATATATATATATATATATATATATATATATATATATATATATATATATATATAAGAATAATCCATTTTAGATTTATTATGTATTCTTATGACTCATTATTTAATAATCTAAAATACTAATTAATTTTAATAATTAAATTAAAATAAATAAATAATGATAGAGAAAAATTAGTTTTCAATTTAAAGTAAGTAGATGTTATATATAATAGCTATGCTGTCTAAATTCATACGAATAATAAAGTTAAACATAGCATAAACCCAATTCAATATTTTTAGGATTTTGGGTGATGTATTGGACAGAGACTATTTTCATACACTAAAATGTACGTATTGATCAAGTCATAAACCAATAACTTTATTTATTTGAAAAAATATATATTTTGATCTTTATACTTTTTTTATATACTTTTAAATTGGTGAATTCAATTCTCGATTTTTTAAAAACATATAATTTAAGTCTTTTTTTCTTAAATTTAATATTTAACAATAATTTTATTTATGATGAAGTTAAACAAAAATAAATTCATATAATATTTAAGTTTAGTCAGTCTTTATTCTTAAACATATAATATCGAATAACAATTATCACTAAGTTGATAAAACAACTAAAATAAAATATTAATTAAAATTTTGAAATTAATTAACAATTTTTAAACTAAAGATTCTAAAGCCAATATTTTGACTAATAGTATTAAGACAAATAATTTAACCCTAATTATTTTCTTTCGAATACGTTGTACTTGGCCTGTTAGCAACCATGGACGATAAACATATATTAAGGTGAACCTTAACATGTATTGTTGCATGCACTTGTTTGTTATGTTTACTGCATCTTAGACTATTGTTATTAAAACAAGTTTTGAAGGCTCTGTTTTGTATTATTCGCGACAAGAGTTGTTCATGATTGTCTCATTTTGTTTGTCGCTCCCACTTTTCCACAAAGATTTTGACCTATGAAATAAGTTAAAGGACATACCATAATTTCTTTGATAATTTTTTTCTGAATCCTGATGAATTGTTAACCTACTTTATATCATAAATATATCTTCTCACAAAGTCTTCCAAAAATCTATTCTTAATGCTTTATAAAATATAATGTAATATCTGCTCATTACTTCTAACATATAAGAAAATTTCAGTTTTTTTTTTCTCTACATTCTTAAAAAGAAAGATTGCATGGTGTTTGTGGTATTAAAATAAATCTGTACCTTCTGTCGAGTATATTTGATCATGGATGTAAGAGAAATTGAATTGATTAAACTTTCAACTAATTTCTTGCAACTTTCATATTAAAATGATTAAGATAATGATAATTGTTAAAAATTAACTATTCAAAGAATCTATTGCTTATAATAACCAGAATTTTGAGAGTATCAGCAGTATAGACCAATAGTTATGTTATATGTGTAGAACTTATAAATAATAAAAAAAATATATATTAAACATATTAAATAAAAATAAAAAATATAAAAAAAACAGTGAAAAAAAAATTGAATGATGACAAAAATTATGATAATATAAATTAGTGAGAAAGCAATAATTAGATAAAGAATTAATCTCTACACTAAAACAGGTATGATAGTTATATACTTTTTTTTTTCTATCTCAACACCAAACATACTTAAATGGAAATGATTGTGACATTAAACAATATGAAGTTGGTTGAAGTAGTGGATTTTGTACTAAATCAAAGTTTTAGTTCCCCTCTTTTTTCAGAAACTCGTTACGAGGAAGAAAAAAAATGTTTTCTTTCCCTGTAAAAGATGAAACATTCGTGAAGTAATTAACAACCAACATATTTAAGTACGCAGATATGTGTCATAGTTACGAAGAAATTTGGGAAGACTCATCACAAATTCATAAAATGATACGTTGATGTGATGCGTACATATTTCGAAACTTCAATTTTCAACAAAGAAAGCAGTACGTAACTGTGAAAAGGATATGGTGGATAAGATTTTGATGTGTCTAGAAGATGGGGATGACATGGTGTTAAAATATAATCAAATAAAAATATTATGTTTGTTTAGAGTATTTACTATATTTGAAACAAAATCTGAACCATATATAAAGTCAAATCAAACAACCTTACATATAATATTCAGTGAAAAATGAGTATATGCATAGATAGAATTTAATATAAGTATCAGTAAGAGATGAGAGAATTAATAATTTAATTTTAGGTTTGAATATTTTTTTTACCTATTTATGTTTATATGTCTCTATCTTTTCTTTCTCTCATTTTTATTTTTTACAATTTTTTATTTTATTTTCTTATTTATCCCTTTTCTACCTACACATCCAATATATATATATATATATATATATATATATGAATCATGATAAAGGGAGAAGAGAGTTTCTCAATCACGACCAGACTTTATCATTAAATAAAATAAATATTAATTATCTTTTTAAGTATTTCACGATTTCTTCCATCAATTTAACATATTCTCTCTTTTTTCACGTTTCTTAATTTTTTTTACCTGTTTAACAAAGACAAAACATTAATTCTTTATTTCTTTTTCACCTTTTAAATATTATAAATCAATTTTCACAATATTTAATATCATTTTATTTTTAATTTATTTTAATTATATCATATTTTTTAAACTTTATTATTTTTATTTATCATATATTAAATTTTACAATAATTAAATAATTATATCTTTTATCTTTTATAAGGTAAAAAAAATTACAAAATATTATAAATCCGGATAAAAAATAACACAAGTCTTATTTTATAATTATAATTTTTTATAATAAAAACAATGAAATAACACAATTAAATACACGTTAACCAAGTAAACCTTTGGGTGTTTCGCGTATATTATTTACCGACAAAAATAAAATTGTATAATTTCTTAGGAAAAGAAATATATTTAAGTCATATTACAAATATCTTAACTTACCGAGAAAACAGGTCATATTATGAAAAACATTATAAAACTAATTTTGATTTTTAAAAAAATACAACACTTACTTTTTAAAACTAATTTTAATTATATAATAATTTAATATATAAATTAAAAATAGATATTCCATAAACTAGAAAATATATCAAAATCAATATACTTTATTTAGATTTTTATTTTTTTTTAATCTAATCCAATTCATTTACTGACTCTACTCCGCACCAGCTCAATACAAAAACGACATCTGAAGCAGTTTCATGTTTTTCTTTTTTTACATATAGTGACCATAAAATAAAAGATACAACATCGTTAAAATTTATCTGAGAAAATATACATAACCACACTCCTCACCTTGCCTATTAACTTTTTTTTTTTTTTTTTTTTTGTGTCATGTCATGTCTATAAACCAAGAAATCATAATTGCATATATGTATTTCAAATTCTACTCATCATCATCATCATGGACCAGTCAAGTTCTATTTTTGTGAGAGGCTTTCGAGTCTTCGTATGAAAGGCCAGCAACTACTGCCACTCACTTCATGCCTGCATCCAAAAAATAGTTTTTGTTATTAGAAAATTAGCTAATGAAACCAATCAATGTTGTTACATGATATATTAATTGCTCATTAAAGTGAACTGGAATTACTACTATCTATGCGCACAATTTGAGCTTAATTATTCATTGGAACAATACAACTAGGTTGTTTGTGATGCAACAAATCAACACTTATGTTGTTAATTACTAGATTAGTGTCCCACAAAAATGTACCTCGTTAAGTAACAAGACCACTCTGTAGTTTTTCCCTTTTTTATCCACCAACAATTGAGCACTGTGAACATTTGATTTGATTTAAGACCTTAAAAGTTACGCCACGAAACTTTATCACTTAAAAGACTACAATAGGTAGTGCCTTCGACCCTTTAACCTCCGTGAAGTAAGGCCACTAAACCGACAATGCGTGCGTGCATACTTTGTTTGCTTTCATTGACTTTGACATTTACCAGAGACGTTGTGAAGATTTCAAGCACATATTTCCCAAGAAACACAGTTTCATAGAGAAAACAAATTACTGTTGTGATCAGTATTAAAGAAGCCTTTTAATATATATACATGGATGCTTTATGACAATAACTTCTGCTTATAAATTATGTATCTGTTTATGCAGCTGGAGAACTTTTATTCAATGTTATACTTGAAGAAAACAATTAGGTGTAGTGAATTTTGAAAATATACAAGGTTCAAAATGTAATAAGAAGCCATGGATGCTATATACCAATAAGTTTTGCTTATTAATTATGTTTTATGTATGTGTTTCACGTACTACCAGATACATACATACCTTTTACTCAAAGTTAAACAGAGAGTAATATGAATTTGGTTGACAATATAAAGTTTTTACATTAACTAAAAATTCATCAAAATTAAATTCTTATTCAAATCTATAGAATTTACTAATAAAATCTAGACCTTTAGTTTGAATATCCTTTCTGCATTTAACTGCTAACTGGATTTTAGAACTTATCGATCAGATCATCATTCACAACAAATCAAAGTCCCCCAGCAAAATTCATTCTTTTCTTCATGCCAAATTCATTTCATTTTGGAAATAGAAACGTAGATAGTTAATTGATTCTTTATAATTTCAGGTTTCAACATGTAAAATCAATAACCATTAACTATATCTTCTGTTGGTTTGTTTGAACATACCTGCTATTACTTCTGCTACTACCGCTACTGTTGCTGCTACCAGAACTCTTCATGCTTCCACTATTAATGCTGGAAACACCACTATCACTCTCTCCACCAGATGCTGAAAGGCTCTTCTTCCACCACTCCTTATCAAAACCCTTAGTAGATCCATCAGAAACCGATGTTCTAGGAGACACCTTGTTTGGACTACTATTCACCAAGGTCTCATTCTTGCTCTTCTTTTTGGACCCCAAAGAAATTGGAAACACCATTTTCAAATAAAACCCTCCACTATCAATGTTCCCACTTCTCTTCACCTGACCCTTCTTATCAACCATTCTAGAGTGCACATTTTTGCTGCTCAGTTTCCTCCCCTCTGCCCCTTTCACCCCATTCACCCCTTTTTCTTGTCCAACCTCAACTCTGGGGTGTTCCACGAGATCTTTGAGGGAAAGCTCGTAGCTTGACTCAGGCATGTTCTTAACCATTTCCATGAGCTCCCTTTGGCCTCTTGCAATGGCTTGAGTCTTGGATGCAGGGGAAAGGCACCGGTAGTAGTTTTTGCGTTGATGGGGACTCTTTGATGGACTTGTGGACCACAAAGGAGGGGAACACATACCAGACTCATCATCCACCTTCGCTCCTGTTCCGAATTGCACTTCCATGTCGTTGCAGCTGTGACAATTCTTGTAGGTTTTCGGTGGTTTCTTTGAAGCTACTACGCCAGAGTTTGTGACTCCCCAAGTGTCATAACTATGAGTTGTTATGTGTCCCTTTTCATTGGACAAAGGAAAAGAAATTGTGGGTTGTTGGTCTCTTCGAGGATCAAACATTTTTTTTGGAAATAATTAGGAGGGTTGTGTTTGTGTGGTTGGCTTTGAAAGGGCGCAGGCTATGTTGTTCTGCACACTCAACACGTTTAGCTTCAAAGGTGACGGTGCTCTTCAATTTCTTGGTGACTAAGAATTTTAAAATAGGCAAAAAAATTTATTGGGAATAGAGTATGAGAGAGAGAGAGAGAGAGAGAGAGAGAGAGAGAGCGTCCCTAAAGTCAAGGGATTCTAGATGGGGTGCCACGTGGGCCTATTCATCTCCTTGTTTCTATTTACCTCTTTTTGTCTTTCACCGCTCCTTGTCTTTTGCTTTTTTTGTCCAGTTAACTAATATCTTCAAGGGACTATATCTTCAGTAATAAGAAGTTTTTATTTGATGTAAAATTACCTTAAAAATTCAATAAAAATCAGTAATAAGTTTTGATTTGATGTAAAATTATATTAGTTTTTTTTTTCATATTTGGTGAAGAATATAACAATTAGTTTGATTTTCTTTATATTAATTCGGGTATGTAATCTCACGTTATTATTAAAGTTAAGAAATTTTTTTAAAAATAAAATTGTGATGGATAAAAATTTTAAAACAAATAATATTAAAATTAATCTAAAAAACATTCTTATTCTTGAATGAGATCCGTTCAGCATAGCATAAATATTGCTTTACTCGTTCGCATAGACTATACCCTTGGTCGTCTAATGGAAAACTATATTCCGAGACATGAATCCCAATATTATGATTACAAAGGATGCGATGTTTCGTAGACGGAATAATATTCGTTAATTTTTTTATAAAACATTTCCCTGGAGATTCTTGAACTATGATGATGAGGAGATCCAATAACACTTGCGTTTGATTTGCGTGGAAGGAAAAGCGCAGTGACCGTGTCTGTCCCTCGTATTTTCCAACTTTGTCAAATTGACAAGACATGACGCATGCATCCTTAGTTCCTTCAAGGATCAATCAATTGCAGAAATTAGGATGGTGATGATTTAAACATAAAAGAAAAACATACAAATATAAAAATTATTTTGAGAAAGTAAATCTCATCAGAAGAAGAAGAAGAGGAGATTTTGGAATTAATTGCTTCAGCGTTACACGTGTCAAAAGAATTGAGAGAGTGCAGAAGGAAGAGGGCCAGAGTTAATTATTAGAATGGCACGAGGGTCCGTGATGAGGTGCACTAAGATGTGCGTGGAGTGGATCATAAAGCGATGATCAATGATGTTGTCTCATTCATTGCCTTCACAAACAATAATGGTTGCTTTTCCTATTTGGAATATATGCGTTCAGTAATGATTGAAACCTCCTGAATTTGGTAACAGTAACAAAGAGCCTAGCATGTTCCCCAAGCAACAGTAAATAATGCATTTCATGATCGAAGTTTAGGTGCAAAGAAAGATTCGTAGTTTGGTTGGTAGCTGTAAAAATCAGTTCTACTTAGTGGTTTAGCTTTTGGTACCTGTGGGCCATGTCACAATGTGCAACGCTAACAAGATTCAGATTTTAACTTAAACTTAATTAATATTAAATAAAATTATTAATAGATATATAAATTATATTTAAAGTATTAAGATTTTTCTGATTACGCACATGTAATTCATCTACTGTTTCATTGCAAGTAATTAGGATATACTGAAATCTTTTGTTATCTTAAAAACAATTAATTAAACTGATATAATATTAGATACAATATTACAAAAATTTGGTGAATTTTTGGGCGAAATCATCATTATACAGCAAATTGAATAGAAAATAACAATTTATCTAATTAATTATCGGTGTTAAAATAGATTTTATTCATTAAATAAATACGAGAAATAAATTATATTAAATTAAAAAAATTGTATTTTAAATTAAATCAAAATATTTTACTATTGTCTGTTTAGATAGACTATTTATAAATTTATAGAACTATCTATTTTATAAAATTATTATTATTTTTGCATAAAAATAAAAATAATATTATTTTATTAAACATATATATTATATAAATTAATTTAATAAAAATTTAATTTATTTTAAAAATAAATATTAGAATAAATTTTTATTTTAAGATTTAATAATCAAAAATAATTATTATTTTAAATTAATGAGAAATAATTTTTAACTCAAATTAAGTGAATTTTTTTATAATTGATATTAATTCATTAAATAAAAATTAATTTTATTTATATGATTTTAAATTTTAAAAATATTTTTTAATTTTTGTTTCCATTTAAATTACTTTTTAGTTTTTAATCAAATTAATATTAATATGTTAATCCGTTTAGTTAACATAAATTAAATTGAAGTAAAAATTATAATTTATTTTAAAATATAAATGAAATTAAATTATAATTTTGTCGTACTTAATTCATCCTACAACATCAATACTGTGTGAGAGGAGTTAATCAATATACACACTGCAACGAAATATCATTCCATGACAACCAAATTGAAATATTTGTGATGTAAGGTTTGTATCACGGTTTAAGAACGAAACTTTAAGCTGTGATTTAATTTGTCGTGACCTATACTAATTAGCAATTATTTTTATTTTTAAATTGACATATTTAAAGAAATCATTGTCTAGGAATATAACAACAAACAACACTTATAAAATGATATTATGTATTTTAACCGACACAATTTTAATTATGCATTGATTTTTTATACAACAATTCATTATTTATGCAATATATAATATTTGCTTATACCTTTAAACCATGTTGAGATGCTATTATAGCAACATATTTTTAAGCATCCAGTTTATTTTAAATAACTCTTTAAAACTATGAAAATAATATAAAATTACAACATTTAGATAATAGTTTATTAAATTGTTTTTTCTATTCTAATTATAAAAAAATATTTTTTTAATTACAAATATCATCACTAATTAATAATTGAATTATAAATGAAAACAAGGTTAAATATATATTTTATCTGTGAACTATTTTGGAATTTTGTTTTAACATCTGGTGTATAATTTGGATATAGTCGGTTTCTATTTAAAAATAAAACATTAAAAATAATCTTGATTAAATAAGGGCATTAAAATATTTGTGATAATGGTAATTACCAATCTCTTTTTTTCTTTCCATTTCCTAATTTCTCCTTTTTCCCTTTCTTTTCCTAATTCATTTCTTTTCAGTTCTAGCTTTTTCTTGCTCTCATTCTTCCTCCTTTTTGCATTATTTTTTTTTTCTTTGTTGTCTTTTAGCTTCCTCTTTCGTATTTTCTTCTCCATTATTTTCTCATTTTTCTCCGCATCCAAAAATAATAAAATTTTCAAGAGAAGGAAGAAGGTAGTTAATGATTCTTTCGGTCACACATAATGATTCATTCTATTAATATGTTAAGCCTAATTAACTTTCAATTTTCTATTATAAATATCGTGTTTATATAAAATTAATGTATGAGTATGTATAATGAGTAATAATATGTAGATTACTTTTACTTTCTATTAGCACCTCTCTTTATATTATTTTTCTCTTCCAATATTCTATTCCAAGACCTCTATTCCAAGACCTTTTTCCACTAATAGTGATATCAAAGTTTCAAATTTTGTGAAGATGATGATTAATAACAATGATCAGAACTAGGTTACAAGGTAATATGTTAGTGCTAGATAGCAAAAATTTGAATAGTTATCATAGTTGGTGCGTGAAGATGAATGTTATTTTTGAGTTCCAAAAGTCTTGACTATTGTTCTCATTGGATACGACGAGTTATCGAAGGATCCCACTACGACACAATGTGCTATGTTTCGTTATGCAAAGAAACATGATTGTAAAACCTTGTTTAACATTTATCAGTGTGTTGATGAAAACAATTTTGAGAAGGTTTTATTGATGACGAAAGAAGCTTAGAATATACTAGCACAAAGTTATGCAAGAGTAGAAATGTTGAAAAAGGTGCAACTTCAAACTTTATGTCATCAATATGAGTGGTTACAAATGAGAACTCAAGAAATCATTCAAGAATATTTTACAAGATTTCCCTCACACAAACTTAATGAAATCGTGTAATGAAAGTTTAAAAGAATGAGCGGTGGTGAAGAAGGTGTTAAGGACTCTCGATGCAAGATTCCATGTGATTTTCACCGCGATCGAAGAATCTAAGAATTTAGCTTTACTAAAGTTGGAAAAATTACAAGGGTCGTTAGAGGCTCGTGAACAACATTTACATGAAAGAGCAGAAGATAAATTCAATTCAGAACAAGCTTTATTGGCGAAGAAAAATCAAAAGAATGATGGTAATCAAGGAAAATTTAATAAGAAAGGTCGTGAAAGAGGTTTCAAAGGCAGAAATAATGGAGGTCAAGGTTCAAATGGAAAACAGTAGAATTCTTCACACTCAATAAATGGCAGAGCCAGAATTCACAATGGAAAGGTGTTTGATTTAGTTCTGGCAATGATAAAAGTAATATGCAATGCTATAATTGTTACAAAATGGCTATTATGTAGCTAATTATTGGAGTAAAGATTCAAGCAATAACGAAGAAGAAACAAATGTGACGCAAAAGGAAGACTATGAGGATATAGTGTTGTTGATGGTGATCACGACAAAACCAAAGAAAACATATGGAAAATCTTGGTATTTGGATATAGGTTATTCCAATCATATGTCATTTTAGAAGAGTTGATTTGTCGAATTAGATGAAAAAATTAAATCGAAGGTGAAGTTTGCAAATAATTTTACAGTAAATTGTGAAGAAAAAAGGAAATATTTTGATTAGAAGAAAATAAGAGAAATTTGTAATAATTTCATATGTGCTCTACGTTCCAGCCATGAAACAACCCATTGAGTATCGACTAACTTCTACAGAAGGGACATTTAATCGATTGGAGATTGAAGGAACAAATATTGAGAATTTTCGATAAAAATAGGACATCGATTCTAAAGGTTCCTCTAAACAAAAACAAGACATTTAAAGTCGATATTCAGTATCGAATCATATGGGTTTTTGTTAACTGCAATTTCTAATCTCAACTAGTTATGATATCTAAGATATGAT